AATGACGTGGTTTCATTGGAACCATTGGATTAACACCAAGTTTTAATATTTGATGGAACCCATAGTCAATCTAAAAGTCATCGTGAATTAGATCAAGAAATTAGGTCCCAATAGAATTGCTCTTGAAGAATAAGTCTCCTTTTTTTCTTTAATTTTAGAAAAAAATATTTTTATTTTTAAAAATATAAAACAACCCCTAAATGTTTTTAAAAAATTTTTAGTGGGTGTATGATCTAAAAAATTATAATTTTTTTAAAAAATCCCAAATTATCATAAGATTGCGGTGGGAGCAGATGCATTCACTACCCCCTCCCCCCCCCCCCCCTTCTCATGCGTTACACATACAAATCAGTTGTTGTAAGGATCAATTCAATGGCCCAAACATGTGCCCTTAATTGATCAAAGTTATATTTTAGTGCCAAAAGTGGCTTTTTGATACTCTATTTTTTCTATCCAATCAAAATGTGACACGTGATAAGTCATCTTATTATATATTATTTTATTTTATTATTTTTACGATCAATTGATACATACATACTGTCGTCCAAATTAAAGTTTGTGGTTGAAGATTATTTTTAAACATGATACAATAAGATTATTCGTCGGTACCATAGCGAACTTAATCAAATCGACCATAGCGAACTTAATCAAATCAAAGAGAAGGTATCAATCAAATTTTATTTTTTGTTCAAAAGTTGAAGATTTTTGGATCAAATTTATATACACTTCAACTAATTTTTTATTCAGTCCGACAAAAGTCTAGTCATTCACATTAAAATTAAAATTTTTATAAAAAATAAAATTTTTATACCCACATTTTAAAAATTTATCAAAATTCGAATTTAAAAGGGGGCTTGCCTTACATAATTTAAGCTACCATAGATGTTGGGTGTCCATCAATCAAGTTGGGTGACTCGAGCATCTGTCTTTTCACCCTTGGGAGAGAGAAGAGCCACTAAACCCAGTCCGTTAACTTGGACTATGAAGATGAACCCACCCCAAAAGTTTACTGACAGAAAGCAGTGGTGGAGGGAATCAGTTACCATTCAACATCAAGTTTTCAGCAATATTTGTAATTTGGGAAGCTTCCACTGCCATATAAAGGTTGTCTGTCCGCTTAGGTCATCTCTGAAAAATGTCACACTACAGCACAAGGACTCGGCTTACGTTTTTTTTTTGTGCTTGGCTTGAAGGGGACCTCTGGTCCTCCAACTATGGTTTTTCAATGCTCGTTGATTTCTCAAATAATACACCAATTAGCGCTGTCACATTTTAAACTCATAACATGTAAATCACAACCAATAATTTCATTAGTAACTTCACTCCGTCCAAGGTCGGTCCAATCAGTTGATTGCACTGAACTACTGTTTATAGTAGAATTTAAAAGATAAAATTAAAAAGATTAATTTTTAAACTCTAAACTTAGGAATATATTATCTGCACAAATAAGCATTTATCGTCGCCTCAAATCTGAAATTTAGTACCAGTCACAAGTGATTGTGAAACGTAGGCAGAACACTAGTACTCTAATGCTTTGTTTGGTAAAATAAGAAAATAGAAGGATAAAAAGTTAAAAAGATGAAAAATTGAGGGATAGATAAAACATCATGTCTAATAATGAAAGATAGAAAAATAGGTAAATTAATTTTTCTTTTAACTTACCAAAATTAATCTCTCAAAAATTGAGAGGAAAAATGAATGAAAAATTAATTATGTGTATTAAAATATATGTTATTTGTTTACATATCATTTGATATATACATATATATTATATTTATCAAATTAATATTATATATACATTAATTGGATATATAAATATAATGATAAAATATGTATTTATATTTTTTAATAATTTAAAAAAAAAATACTCTTTTCATCTTATCAAACACAAAAAAAAAAAATCAATTATTCATACTTTTCATCCCCCTTATCAAACACAAAAGAAAAAAGAAAAAATTTCTCACTTGAAAGATAAAAAATATATCATTTTATTTTTCACCTTTCTATTATATTATTTCTATGGAACCGGCCATAATAGTGGGATGGCTTTACCCCCATCAAACTCTGGACTAATTTAGTTTCAAAAAAATCTCACAATCAGCCAATTGGCCAGTTTTGCCTCATAATGTCAGTGGAGAAACCCTGTATGCTGCCGACACCCATGTAAAGAGAATTTGTTCCTGTACACCCACCCAAAATAAATGAAGAAAAATATTACACAATTCAAATAAAGTCTAAAGATTTTAATCTAAATGTATATCATTCATTAGCACTCATTCATCCTAACTACGGTATATATTTTTGAGTTCTATTGGTAATTTGAATTGTGTAGCGTTAATAAAAAAAAAAAAAAAAAAACCCTACTCACCAGTAGGCATCCACCCATAGATGCATCCAAAAGAAAGTTTATAAACCCCATAGAAACCTCTGTATTTGGACCATTTCCAATGCATACTGACCAAACCACTGATGAAAAAAATGACTCCTACCCTTTTCCTCTTCCTCCTCAACACAGCCATGGTTGTCGCGGCGGCAACTCTTCGGACTGGATTCTTCTTGGAAACTTGCCCGAAAGCCGAATTTATAGTCAGAGATGTTATCAAGAAGGCCATGATTAGAGAACCCAGAAACGCTGCCTCAGTTATGCGCTTGCAATTCCATGATTGCTTTGTAAATGTAACATCAAAACCCCCTACTCTCTCTCCCTCTCTCTCATGATCATTTTCTTGGTAATTTACTTGATTTTTACAGGGGTGTGATGCTTCTTTGTTGCTGGATGATACCCCAAACATGCTCGGGGAAAAACTTTCCTTATCGAATATAAATTCACTGAGGTCTTATGAAGTTATTGATGAAGCCAAACAAGCCTTAGAGAAGGTCTGCCCAGGTGTTGTTTCTTGTGCAGATATCATAATCATGGCCGCTAGAGATGCTGTTGTTCTGGTAAGTATGGTCTCCTTTATTCTGTGTGCTTAATCAAAAAAGTGTCAAGCGCACAAGACTCCCATTATTCCGGATTTAGAACCAGTCAACGCGTACAAATATGCGAACAAACTGCTTTTGTAAATTGACCTTAGAATTATCCTTATGAGTTTTTGGTACCTGAAGAGTATTGAACAGATGCTTTGGAATTTGTTTTATTCCTCTGTTCTGTCAATTCATTCATAAGGATTGCCACAAGAAAAGGGAACACATTACACATGACAGTAAGTAGTAACCTTCATTAAACAGCACAGTGGATAAACACAACTTAACTAAATTATTTAATCTAGTCTTGCTTTATCTTGGTCGAGTTAAAATACGTTTTTTCGCGAAATAAAATAAAACCCGCAAAAGATGTGCGAATATCACTCCAAAAACCTGACCTAGCAAGGAGGGACGGATTGAGAATTTAACTTAGGACGGATCGAGAATAAAATTTATCAGGTGGGATTCACTGTTTGTGATTTTTTATCCCAACTTGTAAGTCCAAATCAATGTTTACTTGTGTGTCTCAAAACAGAGTGAAGGGCCCAATTGGGAAGTGAAGTTGGGAAGAAAGGATAGCTTAATGGCCAGCCAAGAAGACGCGAACAACATCATGCCAAGCCCAAGAGCAAATGCTAGCTTCCTCATTGAGCTCTTCAGCAAATACAATCTCTCTGTCAAAGATCTAGTAGCCCTATCTGGGTCTCATTCCATCGGCCAAGGTCGGTGCTTCTCCATCGTCTTCCGGTTATACAATCAATCCGGCACTGGCCGACCCGATCCCACCATCGAACCCAAATTCAGAGAAAAGCTAAACAAGCTTTGTCCGCATGGTGGAGATGAAAATGTGACGGGAGGCTTAGATGCTACACCCCAAGTGTTTGATAACCAATATTTCAAGGACTTGGTCAATGGGAGAGGATTTCTCAATTCGGATCAAACTCTATTTACATACCCGAAAACTCGAAACTATGCAAGAATGTTTAGTATAGATCAAAGTGGATTCTTTAAGGCATTTATTGAGGGGATGATCAAAATGGGTGACTTACAATCGGGCCGGCCGGGGGAGATAAGAAGGAACTGTAGGGTGGTCAATAGCCGGCCAGTGGACATTCTGATGGAGACTTGAAGGGAAGAGAAAATTTGTGATTAGACCACTTGGTTGAATAGAAAAACAAAGCTATAAAGATTGTTCAATCGTGTGATCAGTTGTGTGTGGATACTCATGTTTGGATTTCGAGAAAGATCCAAGGTGGTCCTAGCTTTACACTGTAATACCCTGAATTAGTCTTTTGCTCTCATCCAGTTACATGCTGTAAAGCTTGTTTGGAAATTCAAGATAAATATCTTAGATAGCACTAAACTTTCGCACGGGTTTTAATTCGGGCTCTCAACTTCCAACTCTTTCAATTTCATCTTAAAACTATAGAAATCGTACCAATCACCCCTTTCATCCAACGCAAAGTCTATTGCTATGATCGACCGAGATAAAAAAACTAAATCGAGACAATTTAAACTGGGGTATAGTTTGGGGGCCATAAATGATATTTGCCCAGAAAATATATTATTTTCCTGAAAAGAATTAAAAAAAGTGTCGCAGGCTTACCTATGGAGACAAAATTTGTTGTGAGATTGACTTGTCCTCTTGGAATGGGTACAGACCAAAAATATGTTGCAATGGTCGAGTTTTTTTCACGGGAAAATCTAGAAATTGAACAGAGGACTCTACTATTGGTGAAGAATGCTATACGCCCAGCAAATCCCCCACCCACAAAAAGATTTAGCAACCATGATAGAGGCAGAACAATTCAACAGACATACAGAAGCTCAGGCAGACCAACAGTTTTTTTCTCAACCTCCACTGCCACTCGAGTCGAAGGCCGAAATACTCACAAATTCAACTTTATGTTGCCACTGCCTAACTAGCTCCATGGTTGACCACTTTTTCAAAAATATTGTTGACTATGTATAATTTAAAATGACACTTCACCCAAATCATTTAAAAATCATGAACCAGAGGAAACATCTATCTATCCAAATGCAATCAAGAAACACACAGCAGATGGAATCCACCATCTTAATCAACAACAAATATTGCCCAAACAAATGCCAAATGGAGTGACAAGACCACATATGATGACATCAAATTTAAAACAACAATCCAAAATTCTTCTAAGTAGAATAGCAGTACTCAACAGCCAGTCAAATGAACTTGCCATCCAAAGAGAAGTAAAAATTACTGTAACACTATGTTACTCAGCAATGACATCAAAAAACATCCAAAACCAAGGATTATATCCCAATGCCCTACGCAATGGCAGATGGCTTAGAAGCTGCAGAGAGTCTGGACCTCTTCTTTGCCAAGCTCTCACTACGCCGTTCCCGCTGCTCCTTCAACCTGGTGGCGAGAAGCTTCTGGTACTCAGCTGCCTCAGATTTGGCCTTTGCAATCCTCTTCTTCTTGTCAGCAATCCTAGCTCGCTTCCTTTGCAGAGTCAAGGGAGTTACCAGCCTTTGTATTTTAGGAGCCTTGCTGACCTTCTTCCCTGTGACCACAGAATGAACCACAGTTTATTTTACAGAAGATTAATGCATATAAATGAGTGTTTTCCATAGCAATTACCACTCTTGACTAATAGGAACGTCAGTGTGTATATCTCTTGTCATTTAGTCAGTTCTCTGTACAACAATGTAGGTAGCTAAAAACAAGGATGAGATAACTAACCAGATTTGGTATTGAAGGTGCGGCGATAAGTATTAACATACTTCCGGACATCATCTTCCTTGGATAGGTTAAAGAGTTTCCGGATCTTTGATGCCCTCTTGGGACCTCTCATCCTTGGTTTCTCAATATCAGTCAGTCCAGGTAAATCATTCTCACCCTTTTTAACAATGACCAAGTTCAAAACAGAGAGGTCAGGGCTAACAATACACCCGCGCACAGATTTCCTTCGGCGCTCTCCATTTCGCCTACCATATCCTCGGAAGCAAGGAGTCCCTATTCAAACAAAAAAAAAGTCCATGAACAGTCATCAAAAGAGAGTAAAAACTAACATGCCAACATATACAAGACACTATGTGCTCCACATTTCACCTCGATGTAGCAAAAGACGAACACGCCCTGGAGTCAAGACTCCCTGCTTCATTGGAAAACCTTGCTTGTCACAGCCTCCCATAATCTTGAATACATAGCCCTTGAACTCCTGTCAAATGATTTGAAATGAGTATATGTCAACATACCGCTCATTATATAAGCAAAAACTAAAGAGAAAACCTACGACATAATTTAGCAGAAAAATAGCAAAGCCATACCTCCCCCAGTGCATCTCCACTGACCTCCTGTGAGATCCTCTTGTCAAAGAAAGCTCGGCTGTAACATCACATTGTAATTAATATATTCTAATGAACAGTTAATAGTAAATGTATTCTATGGTAAGATCAAGAAGACACATAATTGTCACATCCAAAGAAAGAAAAGTCAATCAACATATCTTTGTGCACTTCATACAAATACAAAAAAAATGCCAATACTGCTTTTTTAATAGCAATTATCTGTATCTCAAACTGCTGACATCCTATAAAAAATTGTTTTAATTACAATGGAAGTCATTAGAAGACCTAGCTAGATATATTGATCAATAATCTCCAAGTTCTCACAATTAATCAAGGTTCCCACTTCCCACATGTGAAATTAATTGCAAATCTGATCTTTCAACCAACTAATTGAATAAGAGCCCACCAAAACAACTTTCACAATTTCTCAAAATTAATGAAGTTTACCACATGTGAAATTGTTATTCTGATCTTTCAACCAGCTAATCAAATAAAAGCCCACCAAAACAACTTTCACAAATCTAACAAACGATAATGGTTATTGCCTTTATCTTCAAAAATGAATATGAGAGGTCTACATTAAAGCCAAATCTATTATTGCAACCCAAAAAACATCCTCAGAGCTAGTTTATTCTAACATCATTTTCCCAATATTATATCCAACAAAGTCTTTGTTATTATTAATGAAAAATTGTAGTTGAATCAAATGACATGAAGAAACTTCAGATTCTCACCGTCTCACATCATGTTTAATTTAGATCAAGCTAATAGCGCTCATAATCAATGCTCCCTTAACATCTCACAGCCACAGACATTTGAAGTCCAAACCAACATACAATCAGAAAATACTGAGACAATCAAAATCGTAAAACTAAATACAAAACGAACTTAACGTTCGGCGAGCCGAATATTAAGGCTCCAATCTAAATCCAAAGTAAACTTACACAAAGGTTGATACCAATAAATGAAATTGAACAAGATCGAAAATTCATCTCAAAAAGTCGACTTAATAAAAAAAAAACATCTACGACTCAATATTGTAAGAAAACAACAAACTCTGTCTCTGGCATGGAAGTAAAATCAACTAATAAATGCAAGTTAAAGAGAGGATTCCTACAGTTTCTGGTCATCATCTATTTCGAGCTTCTTCTGGCACCCAGTCGTTGGATTTGCGATGTTGAACTGCAACCAAAAACAACAAAATCAACAACACTCAAGTTAATCAAAAACGAGAGAGAGAGAGAGAGAGTTAATTGACTACGAATTTAGGGTTTTCTTTCTGCAGATTACGGAACAGACCTTCATCTTCTATTAGTCGGCGAAGATGTAGAAGTTGAAGAAACGATCGCTCAGGGTCGCTCGCAACGATATTAGGGTTTTTGGAAGTGACTTTTAAGGGCTTTATATACTCTTAAGGGTTTTATTCAATGTTTTCGTGGAAGAGAGGTGAATGGTGTGAGCGTACACGTGGGGATCTTGTCGGTTTTTACTTTAGGCTTACAACACTACCAGATGCTATAAAAATGGATGAGGTGAATTTTATTTCATACCCCAAAAGATTTATGAATTCTCATTTTATGCATTTAAAAATTATATTTCCAGTATGTACCCTTTATAGTTCCCCAACGTATAAGAAGTGTATTAATGTATTAGAATAAGAATAGGGATTACTATATTAGATGTGTAAAATGTGATCTAATGTTAGCTTCTATCGCTCAGTCTATCAAAAATCACCTAATTGAAGTTGACAAAATAAATGGTAGAAGCTAATGACAGTAGGTACCATATTACTATACATCAATTTAATAAATTTAGGGTATAATTTAAAAATTTTAATATTTTATGGTATTAAATAATTTTTCTTTAAAATATTGTAAAGGTATAAAGTGTGATTCTAGCAAATGGATTTACGACAAAGAAAGGGACTCGGCCACAAAAGATTATGGCAACATAGAAAATAGATATGTATGCTAATGGGCCTGGGCTTTGGCCTCAAATTCAATTGTTCAAACTTGATGGACAAACGTGCACTGATAGTCCAATGCGTTGGAGTAATCTATGAGATGGACATTTTACGTTGGACTTTCGGTACATTCTCCTCATTAAACTGATGTATTTGCTTGGCACGTGAGTGTAGGGGGGGGGAGGCTTCCATTAGTTATTAGACATAATAGGTGGAGGAGTGGCCAAAATAAGATTAAATTAAACAATGAATAAGATAATATATCTCTTTCTTTTTCTTTTTTTTCGGTAATTTGAGTGAGAATCTCATCAATCTGGGTTTTCTTACAAAAACAAGTACTCGTCATACCTGCTTTCAGGATTGCAGATAATGAAATTGATGGAGAATCCAACTAATCAATTTCATCTCCCTAGTCAACTCACTTATTTGTCAATGCATTAGCACATTGATTTCTCTCCCACAATGTGTGAGAAACTTTGATGTTATTGGCTCCAAGAATGTGCTTGCAGTTGTCCACGCGATGCTTTATTGGTAGATTTTCCTGTTGTACCTCTAGGAGGATGCAATAAGCTTCATATCAATCTATTTTCCAGCTCTGCAATTTATTTAAGCCCTTTATAAATAGTTCAGAGTTCAAGATTCAGCATTCAAACTAAAAGTGATAATGATTTTTCTATACAAGCCTTTCACCCAATAGCCTCTTTCATCTCTGAGTACTCCAACAATTGCTGTCTGTCCTGGGTTGTCTTTGGAGCACCCATCCGTGTTGAGTTTGCACCAACTTGTAGGTGGAAAGTTAGAAGATATTAATCTAGTTGCTTTATTGGCGACCTATTGTTCCATGTTCTCACAAGCTTGTGCATTTTCTTAGGCTAACTGTTTGGCCTTCTTTGCAATTATATGAGATGGGGTAGCTATAAATTTCTTTCGGTACTCTTTCTCCTAATTTAATTGAATAAAAGAGTATTTGACTATACTTTGAGTCATTGTGTATTGTTAAGAGATACACCTATATGTAATAGGTCTTACTTCACTAATCTCCTCGGCACATATTGTAACACTCCGGTCTCTTGAATACGTTACTTGATAATTCTAATACTAAAATGTAATGCCCCATCCCATTCTTCCACTCAAATTGGATGTGTGAGTGTATGAGTGTAATTCACTAGTTAAAATAGATAAAATGCATTTACAAAGTCAAGTTTGAAATACAAACTATAACGTTCCAAGTTCCATTGTATTCACCTAAAACTCTGAAATAGAGATAAATGGAGTAGGGTATAAGCCTCAAACAGTTTAGTAGATCAATCCAATTCTACAACAAACCAGGATTTGGACATAATCATAACTTTTAGTAATTGGGATTTAAGGCAACATTTAAGCATATATACATATTTCAGAATAAAAAAATAGGGTTATAATCATATTGAAACCATAGTGTGTCACACTAGAGACCAAAATCTTATGACCTCCCAAGGTCCAGAGAAATCTCAATATCATCAAATAATGTTTTAGGGGACTTTCACTTCAAGTACGATACATTCTCTCTACTTATTCATACCCAAGCTCGAAAGTTACAAGATCGCCAAAATCAATAAATTCAATACAATTCTTTACGATTTAAATCTAGATCACAGGCTCTCTCCCACTCAATTATGTATGCAGATGCTTTCCACAAAAGTGGATCCGAATAATCAACTTCCACAAAAATAACTTATTAACTCAACAAATGCGAATTCCACAAAAATACAAATGGATCCAAAATTAAAAATTAGTAATCAACCCAATCACATAATTAAGAACATTTAAAATATAATTTCTAAATAAATTGAGTATTGAAAAGAATTAAAAAAAATTCAAGTCTATCGCAAAACCAAAATAATCTACCAAATTTGTCTCAGTACCTCAAATAACTATGAAAAATCAAAGGGATAAACTTTTTGATGGCAACTCAAACACAAGTAGTTACGAACTATTAAAACATAGATTTATTTTTGTTTTGGCCAAAAAGTGCGTAAGGTGTTCAAACTGGATCCCAAAAAAGAAAAAAAAAACCACCATTTTCAGCATGTGTATCAAGTAAGGTTCAAACTTGGCAAACAAAATATGGATGAAAAGCTCTTGAAATAAGAAGTATGGTGATCCAAACCACAACCCTAGACCATACCTCACGCCCCTTCATGCGCCATCGGGGCGTCTGGTGGGGTTCCACTTCCTCCCCCAGCTTCTCTCTAGCTTTTCTCCCACATTTTTTAACCAAATCAAGTGATTCAAAGACTAGATTCTTCCTCTCTTCGCTACCTTTCCAACCATGTTTTTGGTTTTTAAAGATCATACCCACGTTTTAATGAAATTGAGCTCAAATTTTTGGTTCTACTGTGCATGTTCAGATCGAGGTTTTAACTTAGAGATCTTAGCAATCGTAGATTGATGTTCAGTAGTATATTAGTAGTCCAATTTGGGTGGACATCTGTTGAGGGGACCAATGTGCAACTACTAAGTCTGTCAACCAAACATCCAAATTAGCTCAAGCCAACCTCCATATCAGCTTCCTTGACCACAAAAACATTGGACTAGGCCCCACAAGCCTAAATTTCCAAGATTTCAGATACCCACCAAATCAAGCTTCATATGTTCATCCATAGCAACTAGGATTCCATGTTCTTCCCCTTTCAATCCACGACCTTACTTCCAGAGCATAGGTAAATGTTACATATACCAACTAGATCATGTTTCATGTTTCAATTGAAAGAAAAACACATAAAATGTAACATGCCCAATTCATACCTCATCTGAGCTTAAAATTCAACTCTTGTTCAAATTAAGCCTAAAAGTTCCTTAATTTTCAAGAATTTCACTCACTTGATTTATTCGACCCGATATTCTTTCACCAGATGATTTTATATTCTCAAACTCGTGTTTGTACAATTTTTTTGTTCGATTGTTTTGTCATCGATTTCCAATTCACTAAATTGCAATATTCCAACCTATATTAACCATTTTCAAACTCTGTTGTTACAGTGATCCACTTATATATTAGCAAATTTATGGAGATTGACCTACGTCGAAAAAAATTAAGAGACGATATATTAAAATGGATCTGAATCCGTTAATAAGGGGCATGCATTTTGTTCAAGATAAGTTTATTTTTCATAAAAATGATGATGATTGGAGGTTTTATTGGATCAATCACCTCAACCATGGCTTAGTAGGTTTTGCTGTTTTGTTGACCTTGGAATCAAGATTAGGGACTTCTCAAGAAAATAATACCAACCCCATGAAGAAAAAGCAGAGCTGCTGTTACTATCAAAAAACTGATAAAAGTATCTGGAATCGTTAAATTCAGTATCCCAAAAAAAAAAAAAACTGTTAAATTCCATTTTTATATCTTATTAATGGAGTTGACTAAAGTACGATTTTTTTTCTTCAGGACCATAGCTCTATTTATTATATTTATAATTATTTTTATAGTTTGTTTTTACCGTCATAGTACCAAAAAAAGGGGTTAAAAATAATTACCACAACATTAGTAAAAACATTCACAAATGTGATAAAAATACCAACAAATGTGACAACTCACCTACAAAAGTGATAATTTTTTTTTTTGTATAAAAAAAAAGTGGTAAAAATAGTTATCACAAATATGATAAAAACAACTACAACAATGCTAAAAACACTCATAAAAATGGTAAATCACCCACAAAAATAATAAATTTTTTTGTTATAAAATGACTTACAAAAATTATAAAAATACTCATTAAAATAAAAAAATTAGAGATACGGTACTAAACAAAAATTTCAGTGCCGAAGTAAAGTCAACTATTAGATGACCTGTTTGACTAAATAGCAAATTTGGGAGTTGACTACGATACCGAAAAATATTTTTCCCCTACCATATCTTCATTTATCAATGTTGTGGTTATTTTTTACCACATTTAGGGGTCCTTTTTGTCACTGTTATGGTACTCAAAATCTAAAAAATGGTAAAAATAGTTACCAAAATAATGATAAAAATACCAACAAATGTGATAAAAACATCTATAACATACCCACAGATGTTGTAAATTTTTTGCACAAGTTACCACAAATGTGGTGATAAAAATACTACTACAACAATAATAAAAACACTCGCAAAAGGGATAAATCACTCACACAAATTATAAAATTTTGAGTTACAAAATAACCCGAAAAATTATAAAAACTTTGATTAATGTGATAAAAGTTAAAGGTACGGTATGAAAATTATTTTCTCAGTACAATAATCAAGTCCGCAAATCGGGACTGAACAACTCTGCCCAAAGGTTGGAACAAATTTGATTGCTTAATATCAACGGTATAGTGATAGATTATATTTCAGTTGTTATCAACTTCAGCTTGATAATGTTCAAAGTCCACATCATTATGCCTGGTACAGAAGATGTCAAAGACTGTATTAATGTTTTCATGCTCACATTGTGTGATTAATAATATATAAATCAGGGAGTTGTGGTAATGCCTCCAAGTAGTTGAAATCATGGTGATATTTCACCATGACACAGACTTGTTTATTTAGTACAATTATTTATGTCTGCACCACACTTACAATAGTTTGTGGAATCCATGTGTTTAGTACATGAGAGGTAATTGAATACAATATCTTACAAGGTGCTAAACTTCCCATGTTAAAAAACATTTATCATATAGGTCGGCAAGTGCCGATTGGCTCAAGTAAAATATATTCCTAGTTCAAATTTGAAAAATTAATCACTCAAAAAGTCAAAGAGGGAACAAAATGTCGCATCACTCGTCGCTCCAACATGTACGGAAACATGGCACATAAAACATAAAATTTAGTTGTTTAAAAAATTAATCCTGACTATACTAAATTATAATTTTTTATTTCTTCATTTATTTGATTACATCATTTAAAATTAATTTCTATTTATTATTTTTTTAAAATAACATTAAAATTTTCTCAAAATATATAACCTCACAAATTTTTTTTCTAACACATGTACATTATCGTGTATGGACAATGTATGAAATAACTATAAATTAATCAAATATGAAATAATTAAACATGTAATAGAATTGAGTGATGAGATGATTTTAGGAGAGAAAATATGTGTGAGATAAAAATTCAAACTCTTAAGTGTTTTATTATATAGATATACATGTTATATATAGGAATAACAGTGGTTAAAAAAAAAACGGGTATTTGCGTTTGAACTGGAGATGAATGCATATGAAAATATTTATATAAATTCATACGGGAATGGACTGAAACTCATCTTCGCCCCTCCTCTTCCCCCAACCCTCCCCTTCCTTCCGCTAAACCCATGATATATATCTATCTAAAAGAGAAAAACCCTTATTAATACATACATATAAAAATATCACAAACTCCACCCACCCACTTTCACAGCCCACCACCGTCACACACACACACAACCAACAACACCGCCACATCCCTAGGCCACCTCTCTCTTTCTCAGTCCACCACTGACTCAAATTTGAGGTATTCTCACGTATTCATCTACAACTCACACACCGACACACAACACACATAGAGCACACATTTGTTATATAGATTATTTTTATGAGTTTTTATATTTGATCTAATTGTTATATAATAAATTTTCATCCTTCTTACAAATCTATTTGTGAGGTTTTATAATTTTTTCTAAAAATCATAGAAACTAATTGTGACAAGAATGGTGATCAAAATTTGCCTAAAAATTTTTCCCGCTAACAAAGGTAGACTAAAAGTGAATTAATATTTTTGAAACAAGTACAACGGTGAAGATTACTCCCCCGCTCCCATCCCGGTCCACTGCCATCCCTAATTATATATGCAACTAAATGTAGTGGAAGGGAAAGACTGGCCACACAAAAGTAAAAAATGCAAAAACAAACGTACTTAAAAAAGTACTTTTCAAACCACAATAAAAATACTTAAAAAAGCTTTACAAAAAGTTAACAAGCACTGGTGCAAAGGACAACAATGTCACCATTTGAACAGATCAATTGATTCCCATAGCAGTGAAAAAGATTGTCAACCACAACTGCTTTTCAGCAAGGTTGGATTGTTCAATTGATAGAAAACTAGCACTCACAATGCACAGACAAAATCCCCACTTGTCTCTATATCATCTATGTCTGCATCAGTGTCTATATCGTCAAGGTCCATGCTGCCTCCAACAAAATTCCCTCCTTTTTTGGGCCCATCTGGAGTTTTCCTTGCCTCCTTTATTATTTCCAACACTTCTTCAATACTTTGAGATGAACACCCTCTGTCATTCAATTGCAAGCTACCTTCCCCCTTCCATGAGTTCCATAGGCAAGTTTTTCAAGAACCATGGGTGCTTCGTAATTTCTAAAATGGTTATTCTCTATACCATAAATAGCATCCGTTTAGAAGGAAATATAAAAAATTAATAAAACCCAAGGATCAAAATTTCATTCACATTTCGGGTTAGTTATTGATTTTGAGATGTTCTCGAAAATAATTTTCGGATTTCTTCTCTATTTCCAATCTAATTGAAACTATACACCGACAAAAAATTTTGATCCTTAATAAAACCACAAAGAAGATAAATTATAGTTAAAAAATATATGCACAACATTTTAACTAAGAAGTGAGGCAGGATATGACCTTTTCGGGGTTAGCTACAAATATTCGAGATAGAAGATATCGACAATCCATGGACACTCGGACATAGTCTGGAATTGAGTAGTGGACACTAAGTATACGCTGCCATAGGCCATTAACAATATATTACAAAATAAAAATTAGAAAAAAAAAAACAAGGGACAAGTCAATGGGAAATTGATAATTGGTACAATGACTCACACTGATTGTTTTCTTGAAATTTCTTGGATCATCAGGATCTTCAAATGGATAAGCACCAACCAGCATGACATATAATGTAACCCCACAGGACCAAACATCTGCAATCTATAGACTCCAAGGTTGACATATTGATCATGGATTTTAGGTGTCCAAATCAAGACCTAGAGCTAAATGATCAAAAAATTAAAAGAAACAGGTATTTTCGAGTATTTACCTTCCCATCGTATTCTTTTCTTGATAAGACCTCTGGTGCAATGTAGGCCGGTGTTCCCACGGTAGATTTGGGTTGGGAATGCAGCACCGACGACTAAAAAATGAGGTACAACAGTTAGTTAATGAATTCATATGTAACTGTATTGGGTGCTGAAGAATATGTAAGTTGATTGCCTTAGAGTAGCCAAAGTCGCATATTTTAAGTCGCGGGCCTGAGCTTCCATCTAGTAGTGTTTTCCAGCTTAAGGTCTCTATGGCATATTTTCTGCAACCCGAAAGATCAATTTAATTCACCACAACAGGCAAGTCGTAAATTGTATTTAGTACAAAGAAATGGCTATTTTCTTTTTAAAATGGATGTCTCAGATTAATACCATTGCATGACAGTAGCTGACTCCTGATATCAGTTGTTGAAAGAAAATCTTGCCTGAAATATATGTGCAGATACAGAAAAGAAAGCAGTTAACATTTTCGAAGTAGCAAAATTTCATACGAAAACGAATCTGCAGGATGTGGAATAGATTGAGATGGTTAGTTAGCCCCTGAGGCATGCTCGTCAAAGGACTTAACTTACTTCAA